TTTTGATTAGATTTCCAAGAAAGATTTCGAGTATGCGGTTTTATAGCCGATTCAATTTCAGTACAATAAAGTGCAAGTTTTAGGTCGATAAAAATTACCGTTGATTTAAAAAAAAAAATTGTGAAGGGTGTTACGCATTTTCTTCCATATAAAAGTCAGTTTTGTTCATGCATTATATGGAAGAATATTCGCAACACCCTCCACTAAAAAGAATTCTAAAAAATTTAATTCTAATTTAATTTTTAGCTATATTTCTCTTCCAGGGCTGCATGCAATAGTACTCACAATAGCCGCGTTAAACCATGACCATGTTGATTAGAAGTTTACAGGTTGAAAAAAAAAATAATAATGAAATTGTCGAAAATACGGGAAAAATCTTGTCCCGGCGGAACATTTCAAATTTAATGCAAAATGCGGGACGTCCCGGCAAATACAGGACATTTGGCAACGCTACTTAGCATCCATGTTTTCTGGCCAATTCAGGTCCCCTTCTGACAAATTTAAATTTGGCCTGCACATATCGCGACAGCAGTAGTGGCACCTTTTTAATACTTTTGCCAAAAAGTTTGTCTGCAATGAGCTTCATTCTAATTTTATACGCCAGTCCAAGCTAAAGTTTAAGTAATCTTTAATTTTTGTGGGCTTATGATAAGGTTTTTTTTTTTTTGTCGAGCAAAAGCCACCACCTGTCTCAACTCTAGCCCCGAAAGATCTTATTTGCGTTAATTCGCAGTTGTTAATTAAATTCAGTAAAATCAGTGTACATACTCGTACATACGTGGTTTGTACATATCGCACATGCACTGCAAAAGCGTATTAACTCAAAATTTGTAATTATTTACATATGTTACATACATATGTTCGACAATGTTCTTAACAAAAGGAAAATTTTGAGTTAATATACAATTGAAGAGCGTGCGCGATATGTAAGCACACTCATGTATATGTACATATGTATGTTGTATGTATGTGCATAAAAGTAAAAAAAAAAATCAGTGGGTGATGGTTGGTATGAATTTACGAATATAAACACAAAAGAAGCAATACATAATCGAGAGCTCGTACTAGTGCAAAAAGAATCGTTGTTCTCGAAGATTATCGCACAGCTGAGTTGTAAATGGAAATGTATACATTTGTACATTAAAAATATATAATCATACATATGTACAGTAAAACCCGCAACAAGTTGGGAGATGCGATCAAATAGTGTGCATTATTTTTTTAAAATTCCATTTATATTACAAAATCAAATAAATAATGTTGTTATATATATTATGTACTATTGTATGTTATATAAAGTTATTATAAACGTAATAAGTTATGACTATACCAAGTGATTTGACACTGAAATTTAAGATTTTTCAAAAAAGTGGAGTTAATCGATGTATGCACTGAACGGCTCAAATAAACTCCTGAATAAAATATGAACATTTAATAAAGTGTATACGTATTTTGAAACCAAGATCGTAGCGTTACTTAAACACATATACACATAAAGGAAAACTTTATAAAAAAATAGATAATGCCATGCTTTGTAATTTTTACAATAATTCAACTCTTTAAAAAGTCATTGTTTATACATATTTATACACACACATACATTTTAGACCAAATTCTTATTTTTACTAATTTTTGAGATTTTTCAATTAAGATACAGTTAATTCCCTGCAAATGCCATATAAATCTAAGCTTAAAATTTTGTGGAACCCTGAAAATTCATAAAGTGATCATCAAAATTTCAAACTTTTTTCTCAGAAATGACCTCATTCGATTTTAGTGTAACAAGTTGCAAGTGGCAAAAAATTACCGTTGATTTTTTAGAATTTTGTTGCCGAAGGTACAGCGGTTTTCTTCACATAAAAACAAACTGTGTTTATTCGTTATATGGAAGCAAATGCGACAAAAAAGTTCCAAAAAATCAACGGTAATTTTTAGCCACTTGATACTAGCATGTTCTTACACTGACGGTGCCACTGAATTTCAAAATATGTAAATATTTAAAAAAATTTAAAAGAGCACTTAAAAGTGGAAAATTATAAGTAAAACGGTAAATGGGGTACGAAAAATTTAGGTAGTTAGGCGGGTTGGGTAAATAAGCGGGAAGGTAGTTAAGAGAAGGATTCTCTTCAGATTACATTAAAAAATTCACGGTGCCCAAAAATGTTGGTTACTTAAGCAGGTTGGTTACTTAAGCGGGTTGGGTACTTAAGCGGGTTTCACTGTATGTACATACATAAATATGCGATCCAACTGGTCATTTATGTGCATATTTATTTAGGTGATTCACAAGGTGTCGAAGCGAGTCATATTGTCTGTCATGCAATAATTTTAAATGACATTATGACAATATGACCACATTGTGAATCACCCTAATAAATATTTGCTTCTTTTGCAGAGAAATGCACGGTAAGTTGTTTGGGTTTCTGCTGAATTTGGAACCATGACTACTACACTCTTCCTGTTTCCATGAAGAAACTCCTAGATGGTATCACGAGCTCTTTATTTACACGTTTTTTCGAAAATTCTAATGGAATAGTAGTTTCGAGATTGAGATCATAAATCTTAAAATGAATTGATACTGCACTGATGGCATTTCGCATGTCAATTTTTGTTTATCTATATAAAGAGCCAAAACTATTACCAGGGGGCATGGTCATCTACAGTTGTGCACAAAATAATAGGAGTGTCTTGTTTATTTAATGTTTATGATTTTTTTTTTATAAAAGTCCAGCTGGTTATACAACAAACACCATATAAATGCAGATTTCAAACTTTGTACAAAAATTATAAAAACGCTGCAAATTTTCAACAAAATTTCAGACTTTTAATTCAGAATCTTTAGAAAAAATCTTGAATATACAGTATTTTGTAGCCCATTTAATTCTTGTCTAGTAAGATGGTAAAAAAATCCCGTTGATTTTTGAGAATTGTTCTGGTTAAAGGTGTTTCACGTTTTTCCCATACAAAGTATGTTCGACAATTTTCTATTATATGGAGGACACGGTCACTGCCAGCGAAAAAAATTGTAATTTTGGTGAAAATTCGTAGAACTTTTACAATTTTTGTACAAAGTTTGAAATCTGAATTTATATGCGATATTTTGACCAATTTTGATTTTTGTTTTTTTAGTGTTTTTTTTATTTTTTTGTAAATTTCGATACCTACGTTAATTTTGTAAGCTCAATTTTTCTCAGGAAACACAACAAGATTCGTTAAGCGATAACTCGAGCCAATTAAATTATAGTAGGCTGAAATGCAAATTTCAAGACGCTAGAAAATCGCGCCAATTGTTAATATTTTTTTTTCTGATGGTGGTGGCATTTTCTCTCATATAACGTATGTACATGTGCTCGAGATTTAATATATTTTTTTTAAATCAACGCGATTTTTTAACCGGTTGGAACTTGCACTAAAATTGTATTGGCTATAAAACTGCATACCAAAAAGAGTTCTAAAAGATTCAGATTAAAAAGTTGAAATTTTGATGAAAATTTGTCGATTTTTCCGACATTTTGTATAAGGTTGCAAATTGTGATTAATATGGTTTTGGTTAAAGCTTGGACAATATTTTTATAAAAAAATAACAAAAAACATTAACTCGAAAAACATTACGAATATTAAAAAAAAAAATCAACACATGGTCATTTGTTTGAGTCACGGTAGGTATTTTCTTTTCGCTTTCATTTATTTTATTAACGAAGCACGTGCAGGGCATTGTTCTTTTATGTGACACATGTGTCTGTAAAAAAGGCGAAGAGGCAATAATAAATTATCAACAATTTATTATGTATGTGCTAACTTCGGATTTTAAAACAAAAAATCACAATCGAAATAACAACTTTTCGAGATGAAACGCCTTGCAGTTAAGTTATGAGAATATAACCTTCAATTGCAGTCAGTTCAACTCTTACAGATACACATACGAGGGCATACTGATAATTATCAATTATAATTCCACCAAATCTTGTATGCCTACGTATTGAAAAATATTAATTGGTGGACTACCCGAAATATTCATCATTTTGCATTTTAATGTCTTTACAAAAATCTCTTTATCACTGATAAATTGTTTTTATGACTGAAAGTACATGGGCAATAACACTGTGTTAGTTGAAAATCCGACAGACGGGGGATTTGTCATTGTAGATAATTGGGGCAAGCTGAATGCAATGGTGTTAACCGTTTTGCCGAATTGGCTATGATCCCATACAAAATTTTTAAAATCTACGGGTTTTTTCATTAAATTATTCTCTGAAAGTCCGAATATATCGTTGAATTTTCAACGAAAACTAAAGGATTTTCATTATTATTTATTCATATTTTTAACTGCCTTAAAAGAAAAGGTGGAGTTTATCAATTTGTCGAAATATTTTCTATTTTTTTGTTATGTTACCGCATAACTTTGGACCACGTCAACCGATTTCTATAATTATATATATATATATTTTTTTTTTTAAAGGAAAGGTGGTACCTCCTCAAGTAGCACACTGGTGTATAAGTGTATAACTTGGTGTACCGATCATTGGATCGTGAAGAAATTAACGGTAGTCTTAAATTTTTATATGAGAATTGAAGTCGGGTTTGTTTTTTTTTGCTTAAAAATTACTTGTTATTTTTTTAAGTTCATAAAATACAGCCGTTATTTCCTGACGATGTGGAACAATTCCCGAACCTCGACACCTTTTTTGTTGTGTGGCTGGGATGGGTGAATCAAACTCAGAAATTTTTTTGTAACCTCAAAAGCCTCAAAAAGCCTCATAATATCCGCCATGTTATTTCTTATGTTAACGCTGAAGTCAGACCCGTTGGACCGATTCCGTTGCCGGATTCAGATTAAGCGCATCAAAATACACAGGAATACATTTGTTTCGTTCCCTGATCCTGGCATTTCGTTTTTTCGGGCTCTGTAACGCTTTGTGACAATATTTATTTATTTCTCTTTGAATCTTAAAAATTTACACAAACGTTTCGAATTTTAACAATCGTCCTTTCTTTTTCAGGTTCTTGAGGCTATACAACAAAGTCCATTCCTAGTTGGCATGCATTATGCATTCCAAACGGATTCGAAATTATATTTAATTTTGGGTAAGTGATCTTAATCCACGCTTTGTATAAATAATTTTTCTAAATATGCTTCATTTTTGTTGTAGATTACGTCAGTGGTGGCGAATTATTCACGCATCTCTATACAGCCGAACATTTTTCGGTAGCAACCGTACGCATTTATATTGCCGAAGTGGTGCTCGCTTTAGAGCATCTGCATAAATTGGGTATAATATACCGCGATATAAAACTTGAAAATATTTTACTAGATGGCCATGGTCACATAGTGTTGGCCGATTTTGGTTTATCAAAGATATTCGAACCAGATTCGGATCACCGAGCGCATAGCTTTTGTGGTACACTAGAATACATGGCACCAGGTGAATGAATAATTTTACATACATAATTACATATATAAATAACGCATTTCATTTTATCAACATTCATAGAAATAATACGCGCTGGTCCAACTGGACATGATCTCGCTGCCGATTGGTGGTCTGTTGGCGTGCTCACATATGAATTGCTCACTGGCGCATCGCCTTTCACTGTTGTTGAACAACAAAACTCTCAAGTAGATATATCTCGTCGCATACAAAAAGTCGATCCGGTACTGCCATCGACACTGAACGATACGGTAAAAGACTTTATACTAAAAATGCTTCATAAGGATCCCAAAAAGCGTTTAGGTGAGTTGTGTGCATATATGAAAATAAAGCTACAAACTCGAATGTAATAAAAACAATTATATTTTAGGTGGAAACAACAAAAATGCTGCCGATATCAAAAAGCATCCCTTCTTCAAAGGTATCGACTGGGATGAGTTGAAGAGCAAAAGGCGAAAAGCTCCATTCAAACCGAAATTAGATAGTGAGGATGATACTCAAAACTTTAGCGAAGAATTTACCAAACAACCAGTGATCGATTCTCCAGCGCCGGTTCCTGTCAACACCCACAGATTGTTTCGTGGCTACTCGTATGTGGCACCGCAACACTTGAATTCACTTAGAACGACACAAAAGGCTTGCAACGTTGAGTATTGCAAAGATCCAGTTACGGTAAGTGACATTCGCCTTGCTTAGTTTGTACTTGAAATACTACATATTCGGTTTCTTCTCTTAGACTCCCTCGCCTTGTCCGCCCACGCTGCAATTAGGACGCCTTTTGAGCAACGGCAGCTTCGGCAGTTGTTACATTCTCAACGACAGTGAAAAGGAGCTTAATCATGTTGTGAAAGTCATATCTGAAAAACTGTATCGGCCTGCTGAAGTGGACGCTTTGCGTTCTTGTAGTCATAGGAATATCTGTAAATATGTGGATACATATCGCAACGATTCGAGTATTTGGATTGTTATGGAACATGTGGGTGGCGGCGAACTGCAGGAGTTTGTACACTCGTCTGGCGGTCTATCTGAGTCACAGTGCTGTGATATTTTCCTACAAATTTGTGATGCTGTGCAATATTTGCACTCAAAGAATTTCATACACGGAGATTTAAAACCGGAAAACATACTGTTCGCCGATACGCAAATGAAGCGTATAAAGTTGGTGGATTTCGGTTCAGCAAGGTGAGTGCCAGCGAATATTCATTTCCCAATTTAAAATTTTTTTTTATTTTATTTTTTATTTTATGTAACTGAATCTCTCACTATTCTAACAGCTACAACTCAACTGCTGAAACTTGGCAGGATGTTCCCCGCTACACGCTTGATTATGCGCCACCCGAGAGCCTCACAGATGCACAGCTCACAACGTACTCAAAAGCCTATGACGTCTGGTGCCTAGGCGCTACACTTTATGCAATGTACATGGGTCATCCGCCGTTTAGACGGGGGCAAAGTGAGAAGGTCAATGAACGTGTGGTGAAACAACGTATATTAGACGGTGATATACAAAATAACTCCACGCGTTGGAAAAATGCTAAACCAGCATTGAAACAGCTGATAGTGGAACTTTGTTTGCAGCGAGAGTCGGTAAAACGTGCGTCTATTGAAGGATTGCTGGGTCATCAATTCCTTTGTGCTAAATTCGATGAACTACAGAAGGTGCTACGCCGTTTGAACCGTCAACAGTCCGAAGAATTGGATAATTCAGATGTTGANTGTGGAACTTTGTTTGCAGCGAGAGTCGATAAAACGTGCGTCTATTGAAGGATTGCTGGGCCATCAATTCCTTTGTGCTAAATTCGATGAACTACAGAAGGTGCTTCGCCGTTTGAACCGTCAACAGTCCGAAGAATTGGATAATTCAGATGTTGAGGAAGTGTTTGCAACTGAAACAGATGCAGTGTGCGAGAAAGTGGAAGCTTATGTTGAGGTGGCTAATGAAAACGAAGTAGCAATGGAAAATATTTCGTCTGCTGGTGAAGAACAGCATGAAGATGAATTTATTGGTTATGAAGAGGTGGTAGAGGTGGAAGGTGTGGGTGCTGAATTAATCGAAATTCACACAGAAACTGTGGTGACTGAAGAAGTTAATGAAATTGATCAAGAACAGCAACCAGTCGAGCTGGTAGCAGTGGACGAATCTGATAATTATGTCGAATGGCAAGCCGCCGCTTCAACTTTGTATTCAGCACCCGAATCCGATACCCAATCGACGCACGAAAGACTCGAGTCAGAAGGTGACACAACCAGTGGTCTAGGCCGTAGCAAGTCATCAGATCACACACTACTCGAACGACAGACTTTGAGTGTAAATAGTTTGAATGGACTGGAAACAAGTGGGGAACAAATTGAGGTCGGAGAACTTGCAGAATTAGAGTGTGTTATTAGTGAAAAGACTGTAAGCGCAGATGAATTGAATGACAGTATGCTAGAAGAGGAAGTGGAAGTGCAAGAGGAAGGATTTGCTGGATTTGATGAGGACGAAATTGTGGAACGTAAAGTGAATTATATAGACATCTTGCTGGCACAGATTGAACAGAATAAGGCTGTCATGGCTGAAGTTGACAATAATCAAATCGACGATGTGGCAGCGCCTATCAAGACTGAACCAGCCGTAGAAGAGACAAGCGAAAATATAAGTGCAATTAAAGAAAAAGATAGTACTAAAATTAAGAAACCCTTGAAAGAACTGAAAAATAACGACATGGATATTCTAACCACAAGTATAAAGGAGATGGCAAGTTCGCTGGACACGAATGAACAGCCGCAAGATTTGCGAACGGTCAACAAGAAACAACGAAACGTAAGGCAAGTACGCGCGAATACGCAATCGGCTGTTACGAATTACAAGACTGGTGCAAGGAGAAAAACAGCGGCGTTGCCCCTACTGAAAATTGAACCGAAAGAAGATGACGACGATGAGGCAGGTGAAGAAGAAGAAGCTATAGTTGAAAAAGATATTAATAAAAATAATACCGATCTACCATTGGCTGCCCGATCTAAAGCGATACAATCACGTCGCAATCGACGTAGCATACGCGTGCCTACCCATGACGAAGAGAACAATTGGTTAGGCCTGACATCGCAGCTGCAAGCAAAACATGCACAACGCTTCAAAGCACGTTATCGGATGTTCACTATTTTGCTGTTCAGTACACAGAATGCACTACGTTACTTCAAGTTCGAACGTCGTTACTATGAATACCAAAAGCCAAAAGATGATAATGCTCACGAGCAGAATACTATAATGACGATAATTAAAAAGGAATTCGAGGCGGAAGAAGAGCCGCCCAAGAGCGATAAGAGTGATAAACAAAAAAATATTGACGTAAAAGCCATAAATAAAACGCTTCAAAAGCAAACAAATGGCGAAGTTAATTCAACCATATCAGATTCAGCAACTTTGAAGTTGACGAGTGGTATGAAAGAGGAAAGAAACCGAAGTCATAGTCAAATGAGCAGACATGCAAGTACCAGCAAGGATGTGGCACCCTCAACAGCTGTGCATGTGCTGTCCGTTGGTACGCTACGTTCGTTACGTCAGCGCCACGTATACAAATGATTGGCGCATCTGTTGCGCATTATGGTGGATCTAGAATTCATAGTGGGCTATAGATGTGGTCAAATGGCAGACCAATATCACATATTTACTTTTCACATCTTTATAAGTTATTTTTGTCAATTCAGTTATGTTATGATTTGAAGCCAACGGAAATATGGGCTATTATGAATGAATGTGCGTGAAACATGCGGAATGCAGGTATTAATTGCGAGACGTAATTTTAAAATTGTTTAAAAACTTATTTTAATTATGTAAATAACATTTAAAATTATTATACTATGCATTGCATTGATTTTTTTTTTAGCCAGTGGAATAAAAAGAATGTCGTCTAATATTTGATTGGAAATAGAAGATATTGGAAAGCAGTTAAAAAAAACAGTAAATATGTAAATATTTGCTTACACTAGGGCTTAGTCCGTTAACTGACGAAACACCGATTCCACCTTATTTTTATTATAATTTGCTCTCTAACAAAATATGAGATATTTGTTGTAATTTTATTACAGGTGAGTGCAGAGATTGAAGGAATAACTCAGGTATTAATATAAAATCATAAAAAGCTGCGCGAATCTCGGAAGCAATTTCATTATTTGTATGCTGAAATCCTTTCATAAAATCATTTTAGGCGAACCGCATTTAACTGTAATTCTTAATGCTGCACGCACATTCGTTATTTTTTTTTTGTGTGTGTTAAAATAATTGTAATTTGTTTATTACAAGAGTACTAAAACAGAAATTAGTATTTAATGTAATGGATACACATGAAAAAGCTTATTGTACCTATAGTTCAATTTAAACGATATTTAAAGATGCGAGCAATAAATATATTAAAAAAAAAATACCGAAGAAACAAGAAAACAAAAGTTATAATAATGACTGCTATTAAGTAAATAAGGGACAAAAGCATAGTTTTTTAGTAATAGTTGATTGCGAGAGAGAGAGAGAGAGAGAGATGAAACACTTGCGTCTATCTCAATATAATATTTGCACGAAACCAAATAAGACGAGCAAATTGAAAACAAGTAAACGTATGAAATTGTAGGTAGTATATATAAAAGAGAGAATACTGACGACAGTCTCATTCGGAAAAAGTCGTAGCTAAAAAAATATTAATCGACTGGGAACAAAGCTATCAAACAGACAAAACAAAATGATGATGCGTGCATACAATAATTTCCATTTATTATTAATAATATTGCAAATTTGTACAATTTGCGCATAATACATATGTACATATGTGTGTTTTAGCATAAACGAGGAGGTAAATAGCGAATATAAGAAGACGAAAACAATTTTAATTGCTTATTAAACAAACAAACAAACAAAAAAAAACGTAAGAAAAAGTCAGCTTAAAAACCCAGCACATATAAATGTATGTATGTATAGAAATAGTTTATGAATTAACTAAATATGAATATTATTACATAAATATACTAAATTTTATAAGCCAATAATATTAAAGCGGAAATTAAGTTAATGTTAACCCCTATAAATGTACTGAGTAATAACATACATACATAAAAATGTATGAATTCGAAGTGTACTTTTGTAGTTATAGCGAAATGGGACGGCGATCATGAACATGAGAATTGTAATTGCAATTTTCTTTTAGAAAAAAAAGTAAAGAAATTAAGTAGTCGTTTTTTGTTTTTTATTAAACACCAACACCAACAAAAATATGGTCCACATATTGTCAAGAAGGATTTTAAAGATCAAGACACAAATTTAATTGTGCTACGCATTTGGTTGTGCCTGCAGCGATATGCTGAAACTTGCACTGACATGCAATCAGCTTAGAAGGTACCGATACTTTATATGTAAAATCCACTTATCTACAATTTTCACAAAATTAAGTTTCCATCATTTCCGATCATCGCTGACTTATTTGTCATCAATGATATTAAGAACTTAATTTCGGTTGCAATTATAACATGCCGGCGAATTTTATTGTCAGAATAAATTGAAGGAGAAAAGTTAAGTCAGATGAATGACCAGTTTGGGAAACTCTTTTAATAAAATCAAATAATTTCCCCTAAATTTTATTTTCTAGGCATTGCAGCTAAACCTAGTTCGTACCCCAATGCAGAATTTATAGGCTCAGCATTTGTGAAGCAAAATGTGTCATGCAAAGTTGTTACAAATAATCAGAAATAGAATTCTGTTAAACTTTCTTCAATGAGTTGCTAACTTTGTTGCTTTCGCAGCACAACAACTTTTTTGTTACTAAATTTGTTTTTGTTGTAATTTCAATTGTGTTAAATCAATTTTAATTGCGTTTTTCACTCACTATTTAAATATATTTTTTCGCTAATACTACAATAAAAAAAAGTGCCAGACTTCTGTTCCTCATTTTATTCAGCGTACGATATGATTTATTCGTTTTGAATATTAATTTATGCCTTCTTTTCTTTATCCACATCTAAGGACTTTTGGCGCACTAACTTAAATTCAGTTAGCATTTTTTGGGCCATTTTCATAATGCAGAGTTAATTTTTATACTGAAAATAGCCACTGAACTGCCGTATGTGAGTTAACTCTCCAGTGTGAAAGCGGTCCTCAGACATAAAATAGCGCCTTTTTAATTATTACATACATACATACACATAAATACATATCGTCGATGTTTTTACAAAACCGCCCATCTTATGGCACTCAAATTTTACAGGAGAGCGAAAAAACAGTTTATTCTTTGAAGGCATTGCCTTGATAGACGGTTTTTTTCTCTAGCTATTATTTCACAAATCTGTTGTTTTAATAACGATTTAACGATTTTTATGCATCAATCTTGATGCCTGGGGGTTCAGGGTCACCAAATCTCATTTTTATCACTACGGCAATTTAGGCGGTTTTGCAAAAACTTCGACGATATGTATGTCAGCATATTAAAAAGTTCTAAACTTAAACTGTTTTTTTTTTAAAGCTCAGCATTCTAATCAAACTGCGAGAATTTAATGAAGCTTATTCGAAATTTAATTTTTAAATCGTGCAACTCGATAACGAGCGTTTAAAAAGTTACGTAGTTTTACTGCTTTTTTAATAAACAAATGAAATTATAATAAATGTTACAAACATAATGAGAAAAAAAAACGAAAAATGTTGCATTAATCATAATTAAAAAAAAAAAAATGTATTAATTGTGCTTGTTGGGTGATGGGATAAAATTCTCTTAAAATTTTTTAAAACATTTAAAATTTGCGTAAATGCAGACGTACAGACGTACACACTTCCATTTAAAGAATTACAAACACCAAGCCTCCCATCCAAATTATGTAGCCTATGTGTTGAAATAAGTAAAATATTTTTAAACAAAATATCGGCACTATTTTATGCAAATATAATTATGCATAGATTCTTTATTGTATTAAGTTAATTAAAGCAAAGTTTTTAAAATATATGCATACACGTAGTGCAACACTAGTATTTAATGGGGAATATAGTGTTTCAGCAACTATAATTTGTAGCTAAAATACATAAATATGTATCTTAACAAAGCCAGTGTCCTTTGGCAATAAAATACATACATAAATATGTTAATTTCCTAGCGCAAATCACGTCAAATTGTTTAGTCTAGTTAATTTTTTTTTTTTTTTTAGTTTGTATCTAAGTACATTTGTACGTTTAAATATTAGTAAAATGTTAAAACAAATTACCAAAATACGCACCTGCATATACATATATATATAAATGCATATATGTGCTATTACAGCTGAATTATTTCAATTTATCCCTGGGTAAACTGTTCTGTTCCAATTTACTTATTACTTACTATTGAGTTAATACATTTTTGTTTGTTTATAACACACATACTTATTTATGTATATAAATATAAGTTGAAGTTAGCATCATTTTTCGCTTTTAGCTTAAAAAAAAACTATTATATTGCAATATTTCTTCTTCGATTGCAAATTTATTTTCATAAGTAAGTTGGCATTGCATAATACAATTAACTAATTAATACTTATAACGCCAATTATTATTTTACTCAATTACATAATATTGTAATGCTGCATACAATAATGATAAAAGCACCAAAAAAAAAAAATCAACTTTAACTTACATACTGTAAAGTGCGAAATATTAAAAGCATAACTTAATAAATTTTGTTTTGAGACATTTTAATTTTGTGTTTATTTCATTTTTTTGTTACATATTTGTTGATTTCTTCAAGGACTACATTTTACGAAAAAGCGATCCCGTACCTTTTTGACAGTTTTAGTCCGAGTAATACGGGATTCGACTTTATAAACTTAAACAATTGTAATAAGAATTTAAAATTTTTTCTGTTACTCCATTCAAACGCTGAGCCAGAAATTAATTTGAATGTTCAATGTCCAATCTTGGGCGCCGAGTCGGCAGATATTTTCACCAGACCATTATCTTCACCAAGGCTGTCCAACCTGCGCCCGCGGGTCGCATACGCCCTAAGAGAGTATCAATGCAGCCCAAAAATATTTCAAGTTACATACAGAAATATGGGCCCAATACAGGGCTGCATTTTAGGCTATGGTAATAAACTTGTAGCCCAAAAACAACATCTGCTTCCAGCATGGCCCAGGGAAACAAAAAAATCGGACATCAAGCGCTGTGTACCTTGTACAGTTCATCTTTTTTCTACTTCGGTACCTGGAATGGCATGGAATAAGTAGTTCTCTTGAAAGACCTCAAAGTCATCTTACGTTTGTTCGACATCGCCCATATTTCTCGAGATGTGGGTGTGATATTTGGTCCTGAGGGGAGGGTTGAAAGCGTGTGTCCCAATGTAATCCCCATGTAATCTTCGTGTGTTGCGAGGCGATTCTGTATCTTGTCCTCGCCCGACGTTATCCTTTTTGCCATATTCACTAAGCTAGAATATGCTGCGCTTACGAGATTAGTGGGTAGGTCGCTGCAATTCAGATGGGAAGCTCCTATTAGGCTACAGTAGATTTTCTAGTCGATCTTTAAAAAGCAGCTTTACGCTTTCATATTAAACAATTTGCCTTGTCTAATGTCTCGTTTAGTATGAAGCGGCACGAAGCAGTTCTTCCCCTCTTGGAGGAAGCCAAAAGTTATTCTCAATATTACACTATATACCTACATAGTCGTATTAGCCTTGCGGTGATTCCAAATTTAGGCATGACGTCTCAGAGACAGTTTGTCTTCAAGCTATCAAAAGCGGCTTTAAAATCAACAACAAGCTGATCTACATAATTATATTAGGGCTGTTCAGGATCTTGTGCATATGCTCTTGCATTGGCGTATTCGTTGCATTTGTAAATCCACAACAATTGAATGCACACGCTGTCCATTTCAGCAAGCATAAAATTTCCTAATGCAAATCCAAGACCATTTCCACAACATCCTGAACAGCCCTATTGATTTGATCTTCAGTTTCTCTCCCGGATTTGTCGCACTATGAAAATCTCGTTTGTGATGAATTTACCACGGCTAAGCCACACTGATAAGGCCCAATCAGTTCGTTGACGATGGGCTACAGCCTTTTTAGAAGGTTCATCACGCTGTAATTGGCACAAACAGCAGAATCTCGTTGGAGCAAAGTACACTGAGATTCAAATGTTTAAATGATCAAATTTTCATTCATCAGAGAAAATTGCGCTTAGAAGCTGGTACATAGGGCCAATCAGCTCTTCGCCGCAGGCTTTTCTGTCGGCTCCAGTGGCCTTGTTGTTTTTAGTTTTTATTGTTGCTGTTCTCACCCCGTCTTGGTTCAGTAGAGGGACGTTAGCATCGGGCTTGTTCGAGGCACGTAATAAAAGCGGCATTACTGCCGTACTGATGAAAAATGGCAACATTGTTGCAAACACAGAGCGTGATACTTTAATAATTTGCGCAACAATGCGGTTGTGATTGCAACTCGAACAAGCCCATCGTTCCAATAAAATGGTCTGGGTTCTTTTTTATCAAACGCGCCACCTTTATCGCTACGCTATCGCTAGGGTTACGACGAACTTCTTCCATATATTAAGTGTTCTCTGAATTTCCGTTATCAGATTCCCATCGTCGTCTCTTCGGGTTACAAGACCGAAGTCTGCTGCCTTATTTTCTGCTTGCCAACATCTTAAGCTCTTCCCATTTACGTTTCACTTGATCTGTTTTCATCCCATTGAAAAAACATCTTAATCTCTCATCTTCCGGTATCGGCTCAATTGTCGCGCAGGTCGCAATTGTTTGAAGAGTGGCTTGGTATGCCGAGCATTATTTCCGCAGCGGTCCGATGTAATTAGAATATGAAGACCAACAGCTCATTTGCGTCGAGTCGATGAAAAGTTGCTTGTTTAAGCTGGATTGATAGTCGTGAGCTAAATTTCCAGATCGGCTAGTATCTCAGTAGTTGTCGTCAAGCTCAATTAACGGAAGATCTAAGAAGCGTGCAGCTTCTATAGAGTCTGTCCATAGGGACAAAGGTGTTAGCTGTGTGGGGTTTTCCGGGCATGCGAAGAGATGTTTCCAGTCGTGGGGTGTCTCTCCACATGTCGGACACTCATTTGACACATCTGCATCTAATCTGCTGAGGTATGAGTTGAACCTGCTGCAGTAGCCAGAGCGAAGTTGGGCTATTGTGGTCCGAGTCTCCCGAGGCAGACGAAGCTCCGTCTCTTCTACGTCAGGTGGTTGTGTGCCCAGAACGGCATGCACGGGTCTGGAGTCTACATAACTTGAGACTGACTCCCTGTGAATGCCGCTCAGGGCCTGTCGATATGCTGACGGGTCTAGAGGTTGCTTTATGAACCTCTGGACTTCGTCCGTCAGTTTGTATAGATGCCTTCTAACATGCCTTGGCGAGGGCTCCTCTGCAAACAAGTGTCTGTTCGGGTGTCCACGTCTTTGGCTCCCTACTAATAATTTCTTGCAGAGCATTGTGTTGTGCTCCCTGATGGGGAGCATTTTCCCCCCGTCATGCAGGTGGTGTTCTGGCGACATCAGAAGACATCCGGTGGCTGTCCAAAGTGCTGTATTTTGTGCTGTCTGCAGCTTCATTCTCTGCGTCCTACTGGTCTCCGGCGACCACACTGGCGCTGTGTAATTTAGAACTCTCGTCGTTCTGCCTGGCGTACGTTCTGTATTAAAC